GAAAATATACCTGGCAGTAGTACCGTCTAGTCCATGTTGTACTAGACTGCCTGAAAGAATATCCTGGGGGACCTTGTTGAAAAGCTTACTGAAACCAAGCTACTCTACATACACAGTTCTCCCTTGGTCCACTAAGTTTGTAACTGGTAGTAAGTCAGGCCAGTCACGAGCAAAATTTGTAATCCTCTACCTGGACAGCCTTTCCTGATCAGGTAACATTAAAACCTACCTCAAACCAGGTCACATTATTTCTTCCTCCAACCCAATCTTATCGATTCACATTGTCTCCAGAGTCCCAGGCAGAAAGTTCTTCCCATTTGCTGTTCCTAAATCCTTAATACTGGAAATGTGAGGTATAGAGCTAAAGACTGATTGCATACAGCTGTGACCCTTGCTTGGCACATCCAGGGCTTGCTCTGCTACATGTTCTTTGCTAATTACCAGATTGTGTTACAATAGAAAAGCATACTCTCATCAATATGCTCTGTTCAAGGCTTGGTGGATCGCTGAGAGATCAAAGACATCAGATCAAAAAGGAAAATATGACATTTGTTCATTTGTAAAAGCCAGAACAGAACTTCTCTGGCCTTTAAGCCCTGACCAAGGCACACTTAAATCATATCAGAGCTTGAAGATGCCTTAGTTTTTGTCCTGGACATTTGCCATAAGCATTTAGTACAGATCATTTAAATTTAAAGAAACATCTTTGATAAATAACTCTTGTGGTTGCTACAGGTATCTAATCAAAGATAGCAATGTCTAATGACAAGGAGAAATATATTCAGGCAATATAATGTATCTAGCATATTTATAGTATGTATCCAGCCATGCTGTGAAAGCAACTTACAATAAAATTGTTTACAGCAACAAATCATGAAAAGCACAGTAAAACAGGACACACCAAAGCAATAAAATAAGATAAAACGCCATGTTTCATCTCATCAGATGTTTAAAATATTTGAGTAAATAAAAAAGGTTTCGCCTGATGTGAAAAAAAAGAGAAAAAAGGATTGTACCAGGTGGAACTTTTAGAAGAGGTAATTCCCAAAACGTGCCACTATCAAAGATGCCATGCATCTCATGTCAAAAGGAATAGGACTTGGAACAAGTACCGCAGGTAAAATAATAAAATCATGAAGTTGGAAGGAGCCTATAAGGCAGACCTGGGCAAAGTGCGGCCCGAGGGCCACATGCGGCCCATGAGCCACTCCTGTCCGGCCCATGGACAGTTTTAAACATCAAAACCATTTATAACTTTTTGTCTAAAGTTGATCAGTTGCTTATCTTTAACATACCGCAAAAAAAACTGTTTAGTATTTCTGAAGATTAACAAGCTTAAAATAAAAACAATCATAACATCACTGTTTCATTTTATTTTTAAGTAAAGTTGGTTCGGCCCCCGAACACAGTTCAGATTTTTCATGTGGCCCCCAATAGAAATTAATTGCCCACCCCTGTATAAGGCCATTGAGTCCAAGCCCTTGCTCAATGCAGGAATGCAAATCAAAGGGTATCTGCCAGATGGTAGTCTAAATTTCTCTTCAATGCATCCAGTGTTTGAGCACTCACTGGCTTCCTGTAACTTGAGCCTTATAATCTCCAGTCCTAAAAGGAAGGTAACTCAAAATACCAGTTGCAGGGGAAGGGTGTCAGGAGAGAGGTATATAGTTGTCTTGTGTACTCCCAGAGGCATGTGGGGCCACTGTGAGATACAGAAAGCTGGGCTAGATGGGCTCTTGGCCTGATCCAGCAGGGCTCTTCTTGAGTTCTTATGAGCCTATTGTTTTGTGCCCTGCACTCTGGTATCATTGAGAAGAGATCCTGCCCCTTGTCTATATGACAGCCTTTCAAGTATTTCTTCATGCTCCTGTGAGAGGTTATTGCGCAATGTGGTCTAATGGCACTGGGATTTTTAGGGATGGACTAGCATAAATTTTGCCTGGAAATGAACTGGAACTCAGTAGTATGCTTCCACAAGATGTGTTCCATACATTGTTCCAGGTAGTTGTACTTTCATTTACCTTTTTTGGAATCCAGCACACTGCATTAATTTGAGACGTTACCAATTCATAGGTAACTGTTGCCAGACTATCTCTTTTCAGCAAACAATGCAACTTGCACATGAGATCAAGTGGACAACCTATCTAGTCAGGCCTCTTGAATCTTCAGTTTGCCTAAAAAGTGAAGAAGCTTGATCTCCAAAGAAATATAGCATCACTTTATAACATGTAGCATACACACATTGAATCTTTCTGTTTGAGTGAATGTAATTGAAAAGTGTTAAGGGATACGTCTCAGAAGTAGAAGGAAATTAAACAAGGAACTTAGAACTGATAGTCAATTATATGTAGCAGAGGTATGAAGGTGGGGTAATTACTTATCCAAATCCAAAAAGAAGACAAAATTAAGGAGAGATCTGAATTATTATTTGTATATGCTAATTCAAACATCTACGTGGAAATTTAGAAATAGAGCCCCAAATCTTATTACTTATGCCTGCTATATGTTTCGTCTATAGCAGCTTCTCAACCTTTTTTGGCCACAGCGATAAACACAATATGAAAGAAATATGGGCCAAATAAGATTATATAAATCCCACAACGAACCTTATAAGGTAGTGTGGGAAGAATTCTTTCCAGTCTGTGGCCCCTTTCAAATGTGCCAGGGGTCCCCAGAGGAACATATAGCCTTCATTTGAGAATGGCTGATCTATAGGATGCATCATAATTTTGATGAGAGAAGGTGACATAATCAGTTTATGCATATAATAATCTTAGCAATATTTATTTATTCTATTTATATCCCACCTTTTTATACATATAATAATCTTAGCAATATTTTCCCTATATAAGCTCTTAGACTTTAAGAGCTAAGTAGAAATGAGGAATACGGATGCTATTCATTTCCTAGCAACTTATTGCTATATAAGCTCTTAGTAAGAGCTAAGTAGAAATGAGGAATATGGATGCTATTCATTTCCTAGCAACTTATTGTGCTTGAAAAATAACAGTTTACTTTTGCTTTGCTTGTTTTTTCAACAAACAAAACTCATTGAAGTTGTTTTGGGGATTCATAAAACCTGCATAAAATATGTGCATTCATGCAATGCAATTGTAAACATTGTTACAAAAAAGTAAGTTCCCCTGCTGAGTTCAATGCCACTTATTCTCAAAGTTGACATTAAAATTTAGGCCATAGGCTGAAATCTATGAATAAATAGCTTTAAAATGCAACACCTTTGAAGTAGTCTTATGAAAAAACTCCCACTTTTAAGAAATAAGATGTCAACACTATTAAGGTATAGTTATAATTAGAGATGGGGATATTCATATTTGTAAACGAAGATCTGCTCTTGTAAACAAGACATCTGCTCTTCCTGTCAATTGGGAAGAGAAGGACTTCACTGTCCTGAGACACATGAGTGGACCAACTGGTCCCGGGGGCTTTAGGTGCAGCTTGGATGGGGATATTTATATTTGATTACAAATATGACTATCCCCATCTCTAGTTATAATGTAGAGAAAACCCTGCAAATTTGCCTAAAAAGCTTGATCCTATGCCTGATTAGTAGGGAGTGAATGTTACTGAATTCAGTGGTACTTAATTCCTTAGCAATCATGTATAAGAAACAGCAGTTTGATGTGAGTGGCATGCTCTTTAATCCAAACTGTAGGAATGAGCACTAACATCTATCTATCTATCTATCTATCTATCTATCTATCTATCTATCTATCTATCTATCTATCTATCTATCTATCTATCTATCTATCTATCTATCTATCTATCTATCTATCTATCTATACTTGATTATATCTTGAAAATCCTTGATATCTGGTACAGATGTTGTAGAGATATGAGAGAGGCATGTTCTTGGTTGGCTTCATGTTTACTACAAAGTATGTTCCATTTCATTCAGTGGGACTTGTTTCTAAGTAAATGTGTATAGGATTCTGATATGGGTTGTAGCAACACATCTATCTTTAGGAGGTCAGTATTACAAACCTATATATGTCTACTCTAAGTCCCACTGAAATCCATAGGAATTCAGTCACAGGTGAGTATGGACAGTGTTGCAACTTTAAAAATTGTTGGTGGTATCCTACTTTTCTGTGCTAATATGATAGGGAATAAGATGTGACTCTTTCCCTTTGCGGAAGAGTTATGAACAGTCAAGATGATACGAGATTCTCAGTGTACTTGTGACTTTCCTAACTAAATTTCATCTGGATTTTAGGGGAATATTTCTCTTCAGTTTTAAGCATATGAAATACCCAGCTTCTGAAATCCAAAGGTATCAAAGCTGAGGACTGCCTGCATGCTTAGTTGGTGCAGATTATAGGTCCATGGGGTATATATGTTTAAGGCATGAGGTACAGAGTTTTGGCAAGCGTGTTATATTTTCCCTGCACATCCTGTGCAGATAATTTGGTTCTCTGAAGCCTTAAGACCTGAATACAAGTCCTCATTGCCACTGGCTCATGCCAAGCAAGGAAGAAAAGAGGCATTGGATACCTTTAGGTTGTAAAAGCTACTGAGAGACTGCTTTGACCAGTTTCAGATGGCTCTATGAATGTTACAGAGCATAGGCTGCATAGACTGGTGGTGTGAGCACAGGGCATAATTTTGGAACCATAGCTGATAATGGAAATGCTATTTTTAATGATGCACCAGTGTTTGGAGATAACAGATTTTATGCCTTCCATAATATGTAATACATTTGTATCTGTGTTATTGACTTGGTTTATCAAATATAGGGTGGAAAGATCTTTGGTTCTTTACTTGTGCATTAGCCAGAATGATGTTTGCATACTAATACACCTTAATCATTGCACTAAGTACAACAAACAAGGAAAATAAAGCCTATGGAAATTGTTTATGTTTATTACACTGATTGTGTGTCTTCTGTAACATGCTTACCAAAATAGCATAATGAACATTCAATAGATGTGTTAGCTGGGGACATTTTTAGTTAATTTTCCCTGTCTCCCCCCCCCCGACAGGTTGAAAAAAATGATGACATTGACCAAAAGATTGAACAAGATGGCATCAAACCGGAAGAGAAAGCTCATAAGGCAGCCATCAAAATTCAGGCTAGCTTCCGTGGACACATAACAAGGAAAAAGCTCAAGGGGGAGAAGAAAGGAGATGCCCAAACTACTGATGTTGAAGCTGGTGAGAAGAAGGAGGAAGTCCTTGCCAATGGTCTGGCAGATGGCAAAGCCGGAATTACAGAAGCTACTGAGAATGCCTTGCCTGCAGATGGCAGTAAAGGGGAAAGCACCCCAGCAGATGAGAAGCAGGGGGAGGGCACAGCTGACACTGGTTCAGAACAACCTGTTCCAAAGGCCACTACTCCTGTTGCTCCATCAGAGGAGAAGCCTGCTCCTGCAGCCACCGAAACGGAAAGTGCCACTAAAGCTTCCACTGATAATTCACCATCCTTGAAGGCCGATGAAGCCCCAGTCAAGGATGAACCTAAACAAGCCGATGTGCCTGCCACAGCCACCACTGCCGTTACCCCTACTGCTGCAGAGGATGCTACTGCCAAGGCAACAGCGCAACCCCAAACAGAGACAGCAGAGAGTAGCCAAACCGAAGAGAAGACAGGTATGGTAACAATAGTTATAAGAAAAGCTTTCTAATAATGAATCTGGAGTTGTGAGATATAAGCACAAGTAAAGTAACCCTGCACTATGTCTATTTAATGTGCAGGAGTAACTTTGAGGGTCAACAGATCAGGCAACCATTTACTCTAAATGGAAAATGAGAACAGATGTAGTAACTGGGCAAGAAGATTCCATAGTAGGAATGAATGATTGGGTATTCCTTGGGCAAGTTAGAATGATGGGAAGATTATTTACTAAATTCTGCAGTGAGATACTTGACAAGAAAGCTGTGTGAGATTTCTTGCCTCCAACTAAGAGGAAGTGAAAGAGCTTCCCAAATAAAGTTTATATGAAATATCTCTAGCATGCTTTACCTTTGGGGGAAAAAGTACATGTTCATCAAGCACAGAAGCACAGCCCTATTATTAAAAAACATAAAAAAACCCATTTGTGTCTGTTTTTTACACAAAGCAGAAATTATCAACAAACTACCTGAATTGCATAATTTTGTGCAAAATGGCACATTTTCTGCCAAAAGGGCATTTTGTGTGTGCCAAATATCATTCACTGAAATTTCTCACTATTCATGCACGCAAGTGGCAAAATGTTGCAATTCCTCATCCTTGTGAGCAAAGAGCTCTTTTCTCCTGCAAACTTTCTAAGGGGGATTCATGTATAATGAGAAAAAACAAGTATTTTTAACAATTTTGAATGATAGACTTCAGACCTTGCAATAAAATTGTTCTCTATGTGTACACAATGCCCTGGCTAGTAGTTAATTCAGTGTTGGTGTTTTTTCTACCCATAGCAAAGTTGTGCTGGGTGTCAAAATACATATGTGGCCCACTGACTATATTCTGGAGCAGCTCTAGAAAATATAAAAGTTGGCCTTTTCTGCCCAAGAGAATTGTGTGATCACAACTGTTGAAATGATATGTTATACCATGAATAGTGATAAAATTGTGGTATCAATGTCAGTTGTGAGTTTATGGCAAAAGGACAGTGGATTAGGATAAAATAGTTTGGTCTTTTTAAACCTGGAACTAAAGTGGTAAACCTGAAGGTAAATCTGAACATTGGGGCAGGTAAATACCATAGACTTAAACTCTACTATACACTTAAAGTGCTAGTGCTTGGGTCTAAACTATCTAAAACAGTGGTCCCAAACCTTGGGCCTCCAGATGTTCTTGGACTACACCTCCCAGAAGCCTTCACCACCACCTTCTGTGGCCAGTATTTCTGGGAGTTGAAGTCCAAGAACATCTGGAGGCCCAAGGTTGGGACCACTGATCTAAAAGACCACATTTCCCTCTATGAGCCTGACTGGGCTTTAAGATCATCAGAAGAGACCTTTCTCTTGGTCCCACCATCCTCACAGGTGCACTTGGTGGGGACATGAGAGAGGGCCTTTGCTATTGCTGCTCCCAGGCTCTGGAACTCCCTCCCATGGGAAGCTAAATTGGCCCCAACTTTGCTTTCCTTCCAGAAGCAGGCAAAGACCATTCTCTTCAGGCAGGCTTTTCCTTAATAACTGGTGGTCTGAGCGGGTTTTTTTAATGGATTGTTGTGCTATGTTGTTTTAAATGTGCTGAAGTATTGATTTTATTACCTTTTTCAATATAATATTGCTGAATTCTTTAAAAATATTTATATACCTACTGTTTTTAGTTTTTAAATATTTTATTTATTTTTAATGATGAAATCTGCCTTGGGTTCTTTTTAAGGAGAAATGTGGGATAAAAATATTTTAAATAAATGAATAATAAATGATTATTGTTGCAGCCTTTGCCTAGGCACAATTTTATTTCTCTGTAATAAAAACTGGAGAAGATAAATCTCTTAACTGATTTTTAAATATCTAAGTATACTCTTAAGTGGAGAAGAAGAAAACTTGAATTACAGCAACAAAAAAGAAACAGGAAGTTTTTTAAAAGTTGTTTATTCATTGTACACAATCTAAATGCAAGGGTGGGTGGTACCTTTAGTAGACCACCAAAAATAATAATAATAATAATAATAATTAAAAAATCACAAACTTTAGTTAGCTTTTCTTTTTATACAGGTGTTCATCAGACTGGGCATAAGAGAGTGCAGAAAAAACCCATAAAAGTGCCCCAAATCATGGCCAGATGTGTGTGTCAGATTCCTTGGTTAGAAGGAAGTTTCAAAATAAGGGCGGCAGATTCGAGTCAGAGATGATCTGCTAGATAGCTCAGTGGTTCAGGTATCTGTCTGCAGAGCCAGAATTTGGGAGTTCAGTTCTCCACTGTGCCTCCTTGGCAGGGGCTCGCTTGATAATCCATAGGGTACCTTCCAGCTCTCCAGTTCTAAGATGATGATGATATGTAGGTTTCAGAGTCCATCTCTGTTGGTGTTGATTGGCATGTGTCCCAGTCTTGTACGATAGAACATTGCCAGTCACTCAGTGTTCCTATTGCCACTACTATCACACTATCTATACGATACTGGCAATAATAGTCAAAGAGTAGAGTATTTGGAGTATCAGGTGGGAAGAGCAGCCAAGCTGAAACATATTTATTCTCCTTGGATCGTGCTTTCTTTGGGCTTAATTCCAAATGACTTCATCAGATGGAGATGGGCCAGAGATGATTTTCAATCAGTTTCTGCCAAATGGGTCTGTAAATCTCAGGAGAAAGCAGTGTCTCCTTTAAGATGAAAGCAGTAATCTAAGACATCAAGTGGCACAAACTGAATTAAGCAAGGACATATGTAGGTTGCATGCATAACGTTTATATTCTTGATCACAAAATAATAATAATAATAATTTCTTCGAGCAGAAGGTGCAATTTTTCCTTGTTTTTACCAAGGTGGTAGAGAGGATGGTGGAGAAGACGCTTGAGGCTTTTTTACTCCGTTAACATGATGAAAAAGGTTGCAAGGCTCATTGAGTTCAGAATAGGCCCATTAAACTCAGTGGTATTGTGCTTGAGTAAATGGACTGTGGAATATGGCCTTCAAAGAGACAGTGGGCGGAGATGGCCCACCCTCAAGTAGCACAAATTATGCTTGATTTTGATATGTCATTGTTTCCTGAATTAACAAATAGATGGAAAGAGATGTGTCACACAGCAATTTCAGTGGCATCACATGGAAGCATGCCAATTGTGATACACCATATGTATGTCAGTTGTAAATATCTTGTGTAATATTGCCAATTGGGTAAAAATCACAGAGTAATTTAAGTTACTGAAGTGTTTCTTCTTCCCAAATTAGCTTTATTTAGCAGACAGTCACTAGGTAGAAACAACAAAACAATAAATACAAACTGAAGTCCAGCAGCTCAATAACTGAGCTGTATTACTGGGGAGAACTCATATTAAGCCAAAATACTTGGCTTAATATGAGATGAGAGAAGATGGAGTTTCCACAGAAACAATCTGAAGGATTCTGAGAGAGCAAAAGCAACTCAAAAGGAATGTTTACAACTCCATTTAATATTTGACAATCTCTCTGGTGCTGCAGATTTTTTCAACAGTACATGTCAGTTAGGAGATCGTACTCCAGCTTATGTAATTGATTCAGCATATCAAGATGATTGATTGATTGATTGATTGATTGCATTTATATGCCGCCCATCTAGACATAGTCTACTCTGAACGGCTCACGGCACAGAAGATAAAAACAATTTAAAATATACACAGATTTAGACTAGACTATGAAAGATGGAATGGAATTGGGGTAGAGGAGAAATTCATTTGGTTTGCATTTCAATATGAACCTACCTGGTTCACATTCTCAAAACAAATACTTAAACCAAAATGCTGGCATCTCTTAATATACCCATCCTTACAAATTCTGCAGCAAAGCTCTTCAGTCAAAAATCGGTACAAAAATACATGTATAAAAGTAAAAATAATGTGCATTATTGGAAATCATTACAAAATGCATGTTATTGGAAAAAACAGTGTGTGATGCTTTTATACTGCCCCATAGTGCTTAAAGCACTCTTTAAGTGATTTACAATTTAAGTATGCAGGCTACACATTGCCCATCCCCCAGCAAGGTGGGTACTCCACTTAAAAACCTCAAAAGGATGAGCTGAGTAAACCTCGAGCTGGCTACTTGAGCCAATCAGGATTAAACTTAGGTTGTGAGCAGAGTCTTTACTGCAGTACTGCAGTTTAACCACTGCATCACAAGGTGCAGAAACACCTGCAAAAATGCATATATTATGTAGACTTGTGTACAAAAATGTGCATGAAAAGATAGATGTATATAAAATGTACAAAATTATATAAAACAGGGTGACATGAACTTGGAAAAACATGGCAAAACTGAGATGATTAAAAAAAGACTGACAGATTTGTCCATCCCTAAACTGAATACTTATAAAATGTTCTCATTGAAAGCACTGAAAAACAAACTGAGAAATATGTTTCTTCTTCTGGTTAACAGTAGCAAAACCAGGGAAAGCCGACATAAAAATGAGTAGGACTGATATACTGAATAATAATATACTGAATAATAATAATGAGGAATTGATTAACATGATTGAGCTATTAGTGAAAAAATGATTTCTGCTTAGAATGAAGCTGAGCAGGAAACTGATGTTTGCCTAGCTTAATTGGTTCTAAACCAACATGGTCTGAATATTTCACAAAATTAGGAAACAGGGACAGGAATTAAATAGTTTCTGTTCCTGCTGGGAATTCTATCATGTGGGCCTTTTGTGAATGAGAGGTGGTTAAAAAACAGAAGAATGAATATTAGCTTCCCATTCATAAGATTTCTCAGCATTTCAAACCTAGCCACTTAATCAGCTGAGCTTTACTAACTCTCTGCTTCATGCTCTGAATTAAAATGGGAAGGAAGGCTAAACAGTTGCTATACTTTCAAAGATGGAAGTCTGCCAGCTGTCCAATCTTGTAGGTTAGGTTCACTGTTGTCAGTTTGTTGTTGTTGTTGTTGCTTGCCGCCAAGTTGCTTCCAACTTATAGCAACCCACAGTTGCTATACTTTCAAAGATGGAAGTCTGCCAGC